GTGTTTGGTTTGCTCTCTTTGGATGGGTCACGCCTTTGTTCTCCTGGGTCCAGATTTATAAAAGCAGTAAATTATTAATTAAGTGAAAATAAGTCTCTTTGGTGTTAATGCATTTGCAATTTCAGTAATTAAATGGTGCATATATGAAGGTGTCTTCTCAAACTTCTAAAGGTAGACTTATGCTATGTGAATGTTAATATGCATATGATTTGATTTCAAAGTATACAACTGGAAAAGTCTAGAATCTTTCCCATGAATAGGATCTTGCTATCTGAATACTAATTTAAGTCAAGTGTGATGCTAATGGTACCTTAAATTTCTAACACCTTTGGTGCAGTGCTCACAAAGTCTCCACTTAATTTGAGACTGTTAACTCTGAGCATACCTTACCTTGCTGTGGGCTCATCTTTCTAAGGTATCCTAGTCTACATGGCTATATTTTGTCACAATTTAGTAATAGTGTCTGGCACAGAAATCTGTAGCCCAGGCAAGTGACAGCATTTTGTATTTTAAAATGGTGGGTTTCACTAAATAATGTGCCCCCCCCCCCAGGAAACAACATAATGCTCCAAATCCTGGTTTTATAACTTAATTTAATGACATGGAAATTGGTGAATTAACAGAACCACAAAAAAAGTACAGTAATTTTTAGCCCAATTCTCTAATTTCATAAATGTGGAAACTGAGGCACAGATCTATTCATCCCTATAAGATAAGTGTTGACACTTTTTAGCAGTTCTGAAATCAGAACATTGGAGATCCTGATTAATATTATGTGTTCTCTTCATGAAATCTCCTAATAGTGCTTTTTATATTTTAATTTATGAGAGTTATGTTCATTAAGATAGTGTTTACTTTGAAATCAATGTTTGAATTTTAACTTTTACAGATAATTGATTACAGCATTGTGGAAAGGCAAGCAAAGGAGGAATGCTTTGCTATGTGGGTATTAAAGCAAAACAATTAATTAAAAAGAAAAAGGATTAAAAACCACACAGATTTCTGTGGGAGGAGGGCAAAGAATTATCACCTGGGATTTGGTGGAGAGTGTGCATTTGCCAAATAATAATAATAATAATAATAATAATAATAATAATAGCAGCAGCAATCCTCCTCTAGCTTGATAGAAATGTCCATTTTTTTCCTATAAAATGCTATTTTTCAACAAATGAAAGGTGATTTAAAATGGAGGCATATGTCCCTTCCTGCTTAGTTGGGAAGGGCTTAGAGTCTTTGAAATTCAGTGGTTTCTAGGCATTATTTTACCTTATGATCAAAGTCTTGTCCTTTTATTACTCTTTATTGTTGTTGCAGGTGACCTAATGCTAATATGGTCTCAAGTGCTATATTTGATATTAAAATGTGTTTTTGGAGAAGATGACAGATAATTGATGGTCTTCCATTTTCCTCTGCAACAGGGTGGTTATATCCAAAGAGAATTTATATTTGGAAAGATAACATTTTGGGGGGAGAGGAGGGTGAATAAGTGGATAAAATGTAATATTTTGGTTTTAAGTTTGGATTTTAAGTAGCCCAAGGGTGGGGACCCTGCATGGAAGGCAGCTGCATCGTGCCATGTTCGGGCTGGCAGTGCTGCATCTGTACGTGATGTGGGAGACTGCAGTGTCTGGCATTGTTTGCAAATCCTGAGTATTTTAACCATGAAACATCTGACAAACAATGAATTATGTGGCTCACATAAATGTATGTGAGCCATTTTGCCAGTCAGTGCTCACATTTCAAGAATTTAGTTTCACAGTTTTAACTTCAATTTTCTTTTTCCTCCTCAAATGACAAAATTGCGTCATTCTCCTTGGCCTGTACCTTCAACACCCCACAATTTTTTAAACAACCAAAAAGGAGGGAAACAAACAAAAACAAAAAACAAAACAAAAACCTAAAACAGCACCACCTTTAATTCTTGTTTGTTGTTTTGATGGTGAAATACTGCAGGTAGACACTGAGTTGGATGTTTATTTCATTTTCTCTGCGTCGAAATGTCAAGGAAAATTGCAAGTCTGTTATTTTGTGTTTGTTGTTGTGTTGCTTCTATGGAAAAACAAAAGGACTGCAGTCCTTTCCCTGCCCAAAGTATGAGATGCCTCCTTCTTAACCTGAGACTTACTTTCGTTTTCTAGGCGCTGGAGAATCTGGTAAAAGCACCATTGTGAAGCAAATGAGGATCCTGCATGTTAATGGGTTTAATGGAGAGTAAGTGTCAAATCTGTGTAAGGGCACTAAGAACAAGTGACACATTTTATACTAACTTTAGGCTGCAGTATAGGTAGGTTTGGAGCTGGACACCTAATTTGCACTTATTTCTAATTTACATATTAGAAAATCCTAAGAGCTCTTGAGGACTCCCCCCCCCCCTTAATCTTTGGTGCAATAATAGTAATCGTAATAAAAATAAAGCACCAGTGTTCATATAAGACACCTCTCTGTCCCGGGAAAGTATGCCTGGTTGCAGAGGACAGTTCATGGCACTTGGCCCTTGATGGCGTTCCTGAGGCCAGGTTGTCTGCCGCAGCTTCTGCTGCAGTGACTCCAACATGGCTGATGGGTCCTTGGCGGCCCCCTTGTCAAGCTAGTGCTGACCACTGCAGAGATCCCCTCCTCCCCAGCCGATTTCAGCTTCATCATCCACCCAGGATGTTTTTTAACTATTAGCAAAACATTGTTTTAATAATATCTTCATGTAAAACAAGTGATTGCCCTTGTTGATAATTTCTTTTTTAATTGTTCCCTTTTGAATTGACATTATGGGCAAATAATTGTTTCCTTTAGTAAATATCAATACTCCCACCTAAAGAAATGAAAGGGAGTTTTCAAATGATGGAAAGGCTGGGAGCTATATCTTCCGCCTGGTTCAAGGGCCATTTTTGCCTTTGAAATGTCCTTCCAGGTCTTGTGGTAAATACAACAATGAGCAATACTTCAGTGAGAATAGACTTTTAAAAAAAGGGAAACAGTATTTATAAGAGACTCCATGAGTGTGGGGTCCTGCTTCCATGAAGAACGCAAACTGAGGAATACTCAATAAATCAGGAGTTTGGGTTTTTTTCTTGCCAGACCCCCAGATGGGGTCCGTTTTCACTCCCATGAAGCCAGTTAATCACCAGATCACAAGTACCTGAAGGCACTAGTTTGCAGTTACTAGCTGGTTAGCAGCCCCGTTCCCTCTCCTCAACATGCTTTCAATTGAAAGTTCGTCCTTCAGTTTCGTTCACTTCCAATTGAGTCGAGGGGGCAGTTTAGGTTAGTTTACGCGCCCCTAAAAAATAAAACCCACTGCTTGTTACGCATTAAGCACTGGGAAATGGAGGTGAACTTTGTAACCTTTCAGAGTGCCAAAGGCAGTTCTTTATGGAAAATTCTAGAATTTGTGAGATCAAATAATCGGAGCTTAGGAACTAAGATGACATCACCCATAGAAATGGTCATTTTAGTTTAAGATGCTTTTTATACTTTAACCCTGAATTCAGAAGAGTAGCATGCAGAAAGGAAGGACGGACAAGTTTACCTAAATTTTAGAATAGTCATGAATTATGAATATGTATCTCTATTGCTATTAAGTCAGTCACTTTCACATAATTCTGAAATTAATTCCTGACACACCCTTGAGTAAAACCCTGCCAGCGGAGACTGCCATCCTGTCAATAAACAAAAAAATAAACAAAACCCCCTAAAACCAACTTCAAGCCTTATATTTGTAATTTAAAGAAAAATCTATCCTAAATTTCCCCCTCCTGCAACTTGCGGTGGTGGGGGGTGCTTCTTCATGAGACTAGTTAAGCAAAAATAATTTCACCATGCGCCCTCTGGGTAAATATTTTGATTAAAGCTGGACACGGCTAGCATTTTAAAAGATGCAGCAGCCACTGTTTACCTTAGCTTGAGTTGGATGGAAGAGAAGTCTCCTTGAAATAATTCACTTGAGGTTTTATTACTGTATAGATTTCCCTAATATTTTTTAATTTTTTACAGAAAGGCACCCCCCACACACACACCCCCAAGTGAACCAGTGTAGCACACACGAGGCTTCTAAACAAGAACTTCTCTTTTCTATTTTCTTTTCGAAAAGAGGAAGAGACATTCCCAGTTTGCCTCCTTAGTGGATCCCCGATAATGTTAAATTTAGCATGCGAAAGTGACATGTCGGGGTGTTCTTCATGGGGGTCTAAGTACCTCATTTTTACCTAGTGCAGCTAAAGTTTCCTCTCTTGCTTTTCCTCACTGGGGTACTGCAACAAACGCAGCTCTTTCTAAACTAGGAATTCCTTAGGAAATGGTGACCTCTGTCCCTAAATGGTGGTCTGCCTGGTGTGGGTTTTTTTTTTTTCCCGTTCTCACCCCCTCCTGCCAGTCCTATACTTTGTTAGCTGTAGTCTGCGGTATTAAATTTGCCTTAACTGTCCACAAGCTGCTGTGCCAATTATGTTTTTGAGAGTAACAATATTAATTTGACCTTCAGAAATACACAGATCAAATATGGATTTCTTAACTCAAAGCTAACTGTTTAGTATTAAAAAAAAAATCATTAGTGTTGGTTGAGCTAAGCTAATCAATTATAAAACATGTCGTCGAAGGTTCAGCTATCCTGCCCTTCCACCTTTGCCTTCAGGGAGCAATTCCTACTGTTGATGAAGATAAGAAGATTGGGTTTTTTATTTTTTCTTAAATTTTGAGTTTTTGTTTTTGATGGGAGTGGGGTGGGTTTTCCTTTTTTCAACCAGGCAATTGAAGTTGGTGACAATTTACAAGAAACAGTTATTGTATAGGTAGTTGCTAGTTTCTCCCACTGCATGAAGGAAGATTATTAATTTTGCACCAGGAAATAATGGGCAAAAATCTCCCTGTCTATGCCTTTGCATGTTTGGATACAACACTGAAGATTCTGACCTGGGAGAATTAAGAGCCTTCTGAGCTGCCATATTCTCAGAAGAATACTGAGATAAATCACTGCTTTAGTTCCCTAATGCATGTACATTTAGTGAAAGCACAAGAAAATAATTATCCGTCCCTCCTGTATCCGACCAGAGTCTCCAGAGGGCTCTGTTAATACTGCAGCGAAGGTGTGGAATTCTTCCCCCTACGGCCTTTAGTCTCAGTAGACATTCTGATTTAGCCAGAAAGGCGACCTAAGAATTAACGGGAGGATGGCGCGCGAATTGTTGCATTTGCTCTTGGCTGATTGTTTAAGAATGTGGAGAGGCTGTGTGGGTTGTATGAAATTGCGGTGCCTTGCAGACTAGGTGAGCTTTCAATCTCTCTTTAAAAGGGGCGGCGAAGAGGACCCGCAGGCTGCAAGGAGCAACAGCGATGGGTAGGCACATTCAAAAACAGAAAAAAAATTTTTAACAAACAAAACAAACATGAAGATCATACTGGGAAACTGAGGGCACAGACCTGGGAAGAAAATAATCATTTAAGGGCCATCAGCCATCTTGGTATACATGTGCAAATAACGTGTAGACAACTTAACAAGTGAAGTGCAAAACATAATTTTTTTCAGCATTTCTAAAGTATAATTAGATCCAGCTGGGGGAAAGTTATAGATTTTAGCTTTAGACAATAGTTTAGAATTTGAGAACTGATGTTTTTCCATATGGTTTTTATTTCCCCCCAGTTCTCTGTTTGAATCAACTACTTGTTTTAAAAATGCATCTATTAAATTCTGTGTGTCCAGTGGTTGGTCTGATTTTAAAATTTCAGATCTCAGAGGAAAAAAAAATTTTTTTTCTTCCAATTAAAATATGCCGTGCCATACAATTCTTAATTCTGAAAAATGCCTTGGCACTTAGCAGCAATTCATTGTTAGGAATCATCTTGAAGCCACTGGCCTTTATAAAACAATCAAATTTAATTCAAGGCACTTCACATTAGCTGGTAGATAAGGATATTCATGATGGCATCCATTTTTCCATTACCATCATCTCTTCCATTTTGCTTTCTGCATCCCATACCATCTCAACGCGCATGCACACACACAAGCCTCCGCATGCTAGGTGAGCCACACGAACTCTGCTTGCATACTCGGCATGCAGGGATGGAGCAGCTATTTCTCATGAGAACATATAGGTCCAATTGACTTAGCCTAGGGCATCTCAAAGAAATAGCTTCTGTGGCCAGGGCGGGGAGGGGCAAAGGACACGGGTTGGGGACAAAGTAACTGACACATGTTTGTTCATCTGTTTCTTTTAGAATATATTATCCCTAGATGATGGCTACAGTCTCTCCTCTTCCCGGCCTTTCCTATCACAATTTGCATGCTGGAATTGCTCGGTCTTATGAACCTCTAATAAGAATACTATTCTGTTGTCTGGGGGGAGGGGGGAGGGGGGCCCACCTACTACCTGACCTTTAAAGATAACTGCAAAAAACAAAAAAACAACAAAAAAAAATAACAAAAAAACAAAAAACAAAACAAAAAAACTTTAATTGGCAAAAATGTAATAGAATGACTATTGAAAGGCACCTATATAGAAACTGATAATCTGCTGTACCAAAAGTTGGCATCTGAAATATGACAAGTCATTATTGAACAATCTACTGTGTACTAGATGTTGTGCTAAATCCTAGAACCCTACTAATACCCTGCCTGCACGTCTCTCTGACTGTTCTACAAGTAAATATAAGTATTAACATTCGTGTCAAATAAAAGTTCTCTGCATGTTTCAGCAATCCCTGTATCCTGCGTCTGTCTTCTGTCTTTCTTCTTTTGTCTGTCTTTCCCCACAAAAGCACAAAGATAGGCATAGAACTGAATGAAACCTAGTACAGCATACCCCTCCCCTACCACTTAGTTGGAGGTAGGCAGGACCTGTTAAATAACATTAACCCCACTAATCTCTGTACATTGGGGGTGGAGAGGGCATCACTGAAAGCATTTCTAGCCCTAGTCCCAACTGTTTAGTCACTTAGAATTCTAGCAATTGGCATATATTTTGCCATTAAGTAGTTTAGAGACATCTAAGGAGTTTTCTCCAAATCTCACAATCAATGTTAAATTCATTAAGCGATAGTACAAATGATGATAAACCTGCCAGCCCCCAGTGTAACATCTCCATCTACATAGTAATTGCTTCAATGGAAGAATTTTATGTTTTAGTATCACACACCCGAATTAGATTTTAGATTTCTATTTTAGCTGTTTTATACTTGATATACTCCCACACCTATTCACATACGTAGATGAATACTGAACACGTTCTCAAAATATCCGTATTTTAAGACTGGAAGTTTTCCAATTATCATACTACTACTTAGACCAAAATATCAAACTGAATGAAAGAATCTCATTTCTGGAAGTATTTTTCTCTTGCTGAATATGGATTTAGAAATTTAATCCAAACACACTTCATCTTACTGTTGGGAGAACTTCAACCCAGAGATTTAGGGCATTTAGTACTAATGACAGGGAGCCCGTTTTTAATAAGTGGGGGTGGGTTTGTTCTCGGCAGTTTTAAGTAAATTCTGAATTCAAGAATGAACATTAGGGATGTTAAACACATGTCCTTTCACTGTCTAACGTCTGAATAACTGATTTTAGACTAACACCAAGGCTGAAAATTCATAATTTCAGAAATGATCGTTAATTCCATACATCTGAAGCAGAACAGCCCCCACTGAATGGTCAGGATTCTCCCTTCAATATGGAGGGTGGGGGAGGGGGCTTTAAGAGTCCAGGGGCCTGGGGCAACTTCCAGGTTTATGCAAGACTCCCTAAAACACACACCTTGCTACCATTTTCCACCCCTGGGGTCTGATTCTCTCCATACCGAAGTGGATCCTGAAGTGGATCCCGTTGAATTCCTGGTGCCAACCTCCCCTCCCACAAGATGCTCCCCTCTGCTGATGAGAGCAGCACCCCAGACCTTGTAAGGGTGTAAGGGCCCATCTGAGAGGCTCAAGTCTAAGGGTGAATTTTGAGATCATTCACAAAATGGAGGCCCACTCCCCCAAATATATAAATACTTGTTCAAAAAGTAAAGTGAATCTCATTGAAAAAGGAAAGAACAGCTTCTGGTGGGGGGGGGCCTGTTAAAATGCACGTGACTCTGACCCCACCCAGCCCCTCCCCCACAAGGCCCACTCTCCCAAATATATAAATACTTGTTCAAAAAGTAAAGTGAATCTCATTGAAAAAGGAAAGAACAGCTTCTCTGGGGGGAGGGCCTGTTAAAATGCATGTGACTCTGACCCCACCCAGCCCCTCCCCCACAAGGCCCACGAGTGCCCCCTCCCACCTGCAGCACTACTGACCCTTTCCTGGCTGCAGTTGCTATCAATCCCCCTTTGTATTTCCTGTGCCTTAATTTTCTGTCCCACTCTGGAGGAGTCATTTGTTTCACTTCTGTCTCCATTCTGTTGACTTCTGTTAAACCAATCAAGTGAATATTTCAAAAAGTGGGAATCTCGTTTTAATTACAAGCAGCAAGGAAAAGTAGCTTTATCCCCAGTTGCTGCCTCTGACTAGGATTCCTCTCGGCGTCAGTTTCCCCCATTAGAGGGTGAGGCTGCAGCACCTTCCTGCATGTGGCGCTGTGTCACGCACGTCCCAGGGCCGCATGCCCAGTGGATACTGCACACATTGGGATTCCTTCCCCCCACTCAAGGCAGGGCTAGATGTCATACCCCTAGCAGAAGGTGCTTTGTTAACCCTTAAAAAGAAAGTTGGGACATGGAAACCTGAGGCAGGAGCACCACAAACTCCGGGCCTGCCTCATCAACTTAGCAAGGACTTGTCTCAATAAAAGGGGCTGGGGCTGTAGCTTGGTTGTTCAATGCCCCTGCGTTCATTCCCCAATACAATTAAAAACAAACGCTTGGGCATCTCCCCTGACTGTGCTTTCTATCCAGAAGGCCAGTTTCTAAAAGATATATAATATTTGGGCCGATGTAATCTGGTACAAAAAATAACATTCTGTCAGGGAACCACAACAGCCAAAGGTTATGGCCTTTACCCTATGGCCTTTACCAGTGGCTCTGGATACAGACAGTTCCACAAAGACCACAGTGCCAGGAACTGGCATAGACCCCCTACCACCATTATTAGGACTTGGGGAGGGGGGCGGTCTTCCGTTCCTAATAACCTTGGCGGACCAGTGTGCACAACCTTATAAACTTAGAAGTATTGTTAGCTGCAGTACCCAAAATAACATCTCCCTATGACTGACATGTAACTGTTTAAATAAATAACAGGGCTGCAAATAAATAAGTAGGACTGCAGAGCCCTGGAATCTGTAATTAATGATTATTAACACCACCCCTAGCATTTGCTGGTTGTCAGTAGCAACCCAGAGAATACCAAGTCAAACCCCATGATGACCTGTACACCCTACAACCCCCACGAGGAATGCTGATAAGGGCCAAGTAGGAGGAGCCTTTTAGGAAGTGGTGGTGTGGGGGCTGCAAACCCACAAAGCCAAATCTGGAATAGCAGATAACCCCTGCAACCTCTGGTACAGCTGACGGTGATCTCTATAGGTGCTGACTTGCCAGTCACTCCCATCCAATGTGTCCTTGGGGCACGTTTGGGACACTATGATTTACTTGGGTGCCTCCAATCTGCACAGATCTGAACCCACAACTCCTTGAAGAACAGAATACTATGCTTTTTAGTTGGAGTATCTTGATTAAGGTGACCCCTGGTCAGCGGGATGCCATATGATTTTCTTTTCTTTTTAATCCCACTGTAGTGAGAAGGCCACCAAGGTGCAGGACATCAAAAACAACCTGAAGGAGGCCATTGAAGTACGTGTAGCTCCCTTTTCTCTTTAGTACGACCCCTGCTCTCTTTAGTACCCCCTCCCACACATGCAGTTCTGTGCCCCTGACTGCTTTACTCAATCATTTTCAGACCATCGTGGCTGCCATGAGCAACCTGGTGCCCCCTGTGGAGCTGGCCAACCCTGAGAACCAGTTCAGAGTGGACTACATTCTGAGCGTGATGAACGTGCCTGACTTTGACTTCCCACCTGTAAGCCACACCCCTGCCTGGTAGCCCTTGCCTCCACTCACCTGTGTAGTAACTTGATCCTATAAGAACATCAGGGACAGGCTCCATACCCAGCCTGGAGGATGGCCACACACATAGGAAGTTAATCACACACATATCCTTAATGCTGGAAAAAGAAAAACAACATTAGACTTTTGTTCAAGATGGATGAGCACAATTTTATCGCCCCTTGTCAATCCTGGCTTGTCCACCCCACAAATGAACGCCACCTTTGATGCCTCAATTTTTACTTTATTAGATTGTGAATTTTTATGAGGGAAATAGTCCTGAGCTATGACAGGCTTAATTATTCCCTTGTCTACATATCAGGACCAACAAAACTGTGCTGAAGATGACAAATATTAATTGTCGAGTTAATCTAGACATGTCCTTAGATACTGTGGGATGCATAGGTAAAGTGCCCAGGGAGACAGTCTCGTTTTGAACCGTGTTACCTTTCACATTTATTAAGATCAGTAATTCGCCACCAGAGGAGAACAGGAATTAACTATGCGGACTTCTGAATATGTTAAACATGCTAAATTAAAATTCTTGATGAGTATTAAGTCATTATATGGGCTTGCCCACATATGGGCAAGCATGGGTCACAGTGAACTATGGCCTCAAGAGTTTGAATAACAGTGTTCTTGGTGCACACTCACAGCTTCCTCTAAACATGCTTTCTTGGGTTCACTTTCAGGAATTCTACGAGCATGCCAAGGCTCTGTGGGAGGATGAGGGAGTGCGTGCCTGCTATGAGCGCTCCAACGAGTACCAGCTGATTGACTGCGCCCAGTAGTAAGGAGCCCCTTTATTAGTTTCTGGGATCCACACATAAAATAGGAAACAATGAAAAAAACTGTAAAAACCTGAAACTCCCATGATTCTTTCCATAGAAGCCAACCAAATTTTCACTAGCAGTTAAAAAGTTCTAGTCTGAATCATTTGTTTCACAAAGCACTTAATTGCAATTTTTAGTGCAGTGGTGGCACTATTTCATATCAACAATTAATACCTGTTAGAGCAAAATGATAATTACTTACATAAAATGGTGCTCATAATTAATTAGCTTGAAGTAATTAATTGAAATGACCTCTAAGCATTTAGGGAAATAGGGCAGCTATCATGTGTTGGATAATGTAAAAATGTTATCTTTTATTACTACAATTTAAAAACATAAGAAAGAACAGAAGAGACAAAAACAGGCCTCTGCTTCTTGGCAGTGGCTAACTGCCTGGCTGTTCCTACTGTTCCCAGCACCTTTAATGCCATACCTCTGGAAAGCTGCCTTTTAAATGCTTTACGACCTTCTTCATCCTGTGCATGCATAGGAATCATATGGTGGTCCAGGTCATTTAAAAAAAAAAAAAAAATTTTTTTTTTTTTTTTTTTAGAGATATATTCTTTCAAGGAACAGAAAAATAGTCCATCATGGCCAGTCCTCACAGCCCCCAGCCCCCACTCCTCCTTTAACAAAGTGCCTGATTTTCTCAAAAGTTTGAACTAAAAGCTGGAAGCACTAATTATAGTAACACAAAACAAATGGAAATCCTGGAATTGTTTGTGATTTGTATTTTGGATCCAAGTCAGGAGTTAAGTACAGGTACCAGATTAGGAGGATTTAGGCATCCCAGTTGTGAATACTGGGGGCAGGGGCCATGTAACAATTTCATTAATTAACAGCAGTTTAGTCAGGTTGTTTGTTTTGGGTCACATCACTTAAAAAAGTTTTCAGCTTCTGTTTTTTTTTTTTTTTTTTTTAAACAATGCAACATTACTCCTGAAACTTTATCTGAAAATGGCACCATTTGCTCAGATTATGGGAATTTTTTTTTTTTTTTTTTTTTAAGAAAAAGAGAACAACATCACTCAACTTTTTAAACGTCCTCCCTTAAGGGGATGATTTGAAGAGTAGTGTCCAGTGTGCTTCTGGTTTAACTGCCTGCATGTTGGAGCAGAGGCCCTGGTGCGGTGCCCATTTCTTAAGCTGCCTATTTTTGTTTGTTGAGCTGGAGTTTGGCTGGCCACACTCCAGATGTCTTCTCACAAGATTTGGTGCTGAGGATCTATTTTTAGAACTGTGGTTCTGTTGCCATGGCAATATGCTGGAGGCCAGGGTGGCTGGGGAGCTATTTCTGGACCCTGCTGTAATATAAGATTGATTGGGCAAGTTAGTATATCCTCCCAGCCAGACTAACTCCAAACTGGTAAAAAGGAAGGGGAAAGAGGAGGGGAAAAACTTAGGGGTTTTCTTTAAATAGTCTTTTTTCCCTTCCTGATTCTTTTCTGATTAGCCCACTTTAAAACAATTCCCACCTCCACTCCCCCCCAAAAAGAAAACCCAAACTGGTTCCAACATCAGTTTTCCATATTAATTAAATTACCCCAATTTTGGAAAATTTACCTTCCCTAAACATGTGTCCAGTAAAGCAACACAGGCAAGATACCTTTTTAAATGAAAAGTTCAGTATCTGGAGTGTTGCATATCATGGACATCACAGATAGGAAGGGAACTTTGTGTTTGCTTCCTGTTCAGCACAGCGAGGGCAAGAAGGGCCCCTTTGTGCCAGTGGCTTTTGTTCTCGTTAATCAATGAGATTCTTAAAAGTAAAAAGGAAGGACAGATTCTGAGTAACAATCTCCTTTGCCCTTGAGGGGAAGGTCCTTGCTGCTTTAAGTATGCCACTTCACATATATTACATTTTTTAAAAAGCTGAATGGTATATGGAAGTATACAATTTTCAGACAATTTGCCATTTTAGCCAGTGCCAAACAATTTGAAAATGACAAAATGTTTTGGCTAGTCTTATGAAAAGTTATAGGATCTGATAGGCCTCTTTTGGGGTCCTTGCCCTGCTGATTGACAAAAGCTAGACTTTTAAAATTAGAAGCAAGAACAAAGCCCCCACTACTGTCCCGGGCTGCCTATCATCTCTTAGGGACAATTTGTTTCATTTAGCCAGGGTTTGTGGAGGACACAGACAGTGGGCCAGTTGGTGTGAGCACCCTTAACATCACCATGTATCTTCTCTTTTCTTCTAAGCTTTCTGGACAAGATTGATGTCATCAAGCAGGCCGACTATGTGCCGAGTGACCAGGTATGTAAGCTTTTTCAGTCAGAAGATTTGGAGCCCACATTCCAGGCTACTCAAGATTTTTACTCCAGATTGATAATCATTATTTCTGTTGAGTTGGTGAGATCCACTGACCCATGCTTTGTTTTAGGACCTGCTTCGCTGCCGCGTCCTGACCTCTGGAATCTTTGAGACCAAGTTCCAGGTGGACAAAGTCAACTTCCAGTGAGTGGATTTTCCTCTTTATACCAAATGGAGATAGTGGTTTCTTGACATGCCCTCTGGCAGTTGAGTGGTGTCTCTTTGGGAAGAAATAACCAGATGTCCTTTATCTCCACCAGCATGTTCGATGTGGGCGGCCAGCGGGATGAACGCCGCAAGTGGATCCAGTGCTTCAATGGTATGGATGGCCGTGGTGGGCACTGCATTCCAAGAGCACGTGCTTTTGTAATTATCAGGGGTTATTTCTGCTTCTAACTCTCACTGCTCTTTCTCTCTTTGAAGATGTGACTGCCATTATCTTCGTGGTGGCCAGCAGCAGCTACAACATGGTCATTCGGGAGGACAACCAGACCAACCGCCTGCAGGAGGCTCTGAACCTCTTCAAGAGCATCTGGAACAACAGGTATGTGCTAGGACAAGCACCCTGCTTGCCCTGGAGCTCCAGGGCTGCTCTCAAACCGCGATCTGCACTGTCCTGGCATTTAAACCTGCCCCTCTCTCTCTTAGATGGCTGCGCACCATCTCTGTGATTCTGTTCCTCAACAAGCAAGATCTGCTCGCTGAGAAAGTCCTTGCTGGAAAATCGAAGATTGAGGACTACTTTCCAGAATTTGCTCGCTACACTACTCCTGAGGATGGTATGTGTGTCTTCTGTGTTTGATGTGGGCACGCTCAAGGCATGAAAGCCTATCTGGGTGGAGAAATCAAGAGTGCTGAGAAGTTAAGGGGCTAGAGTGGTGTTAATACCCTAATTGTGCTCTTATCTTTTTATTACTTTAGTTAATAAAATATCTCCATTCTTTATAGCTACTCCCGAGCCCGGAGAGGACCCACGCGTGACCCGGGCCAAGTACTTCATTCGAGATGAGTTTCTGGTGAGTAGAGCTTTCCGTAGTCTTCACTCTTTTCTACAGATACAAACTTTTTAATTCCAAACATAGGGATTAAACCATCCAGTTCTTCCGTTTCTTTTCAATAATTCCCAACCAGCATCCATTCTGGGTGTTCGAACCCCTTCATCTCATAACACGGGCAGCTGGTCCATACTTGTCATACTTGTCCTTGGGTTGGCAGTGTAGTTTCCTGGAGAGGGTTACTGACTGGACCTTGCACTTGTGCCCACAGAGAATCAGCACTGCTAGTGGAGATGGGCGCCACTACTGCTATCCTCACTTCACCTGCGCTGTGGACACTGAGAACATCCGCCGTGTGTTCAACGACTGCCGCGACATCATCCAGCGCATGCATCTTCGTCAGTACGAGCTGCTCTAAAGAGGGAACCCCCAAATTTAATTAAAGCCTTAAGCACAATTAATTAAAAGTGAAACGTAATTGTACAAGCAGTTAATCACCCACCATAGGGCATGATTAACAAAGCAACCTTTCCTTTCCCCCGAGTGATTTTGCGAAACCCCCTTTTCCCTTCAGCTTGCTTAGATGTTCCAAATTTAGAAAGCTTAAGGCGGCCTACAGAAAAAGAAAAAGAAAAAAAGGCCACAAAAGTTCCCTCTCTCTTTCAGTAACTAAAATAAAAGCAGCAAACAGAAATAAAGAAATAAATGAAACAAATGAAATAAAAAATGAAATAAATGAAATAAATATTGTGTTGTGCAGCATTAAAAAATCAAAATAAAAATTAAATGTGAGCAAAGAAAGAACTGACTCCTGTGAGTTATTTGCGATCTGAAGCAGTTCCCATGGTTTGAGGGTTAAACTTGGCCTTTTCATTGGGAGTTTGGAAGCCCATGTTGAGGTATGGGCCCCAAGTTAATAAAATGGGAGTAATGACTTCATCTTTGGGACACTGTATGTCAAGGAATACCACATTTTGATCATTGCTGCCAACTCACACTCTGATCGTCCTCACAGGGTGTGCCTGTTTACCTGATCTCCCTCGAAAAACTGTTAGGTTTTTTAAATCAGTTATGGACTACATTATGTGGTGAAATGTGCAAACACAGTGCTCCAGTCAGTTGGGGGAAGTGAAGTTATTCAAGAAATGGTTTTGATACAGTGGGCTAGCTATTGGGGGAAAACGATCCCTACCTCACTCCACACACCAGAATGAATTAGATGTGGATCTGTTATCGACATCTAAATTTAAAAGTTACTTTTTAAAAATAGCTAGTTTTCCAATTAAGATCTTGGTCTATAGAAGGACTCTCTAAGCATGGCAAAGACCTAAAAGCCAGAAGGGGTCAGGGGAGGTGGTTATATAAAAATGAAAATCACATAATAAATATGGGGGAAGGAGTTTGGTAAAAGACTGTAAAAGGGGTGATTAATACATAAAGAATCCTTAAAAATAAGCAAAAGCATCAGAAAAAATGGGAACAGTCCATCAACATGTAAATTACTTAAAACAAGAGATAAACATCTCAATATGTGGAATATCACTCAGTGAAAACACAAATAAAGCACACTATCAGCACTCATGGTCCCCATGTTAAACACAATGAAGCCCAATTGGAATGTGGCTTAAACCTGAAGTCCATTATACCCCAGACTTGTCCTTCAAGATTGTGGTCACCCATGGTGACCTGGTGTGGTGCCCTGGAATGTTGGGAAGAAGACCCTAGTATCCCCCACTGTGTCCTCTGTGGTCAAATGGGACATGAGGTCAAATGGGACATTTGTGGTCAAATGGGACATGAGTCAAATACATTCTGTAACCCAAGCCCCAAATCCACTTTGTGTTCTATTCTCCAGATCAAAACAGTCCCAGCCATGATCATCAACCACTGTAGTTCACCTTGATTATGAGCCCCAAGGAGGGCCGAAGAAGTAGCAAGTACCCCCACTTCCATCTCCATAAACTTTTCCAAAGCCTATGTAACATTCATCCCACATGATAATTGTACTTACCATGTAGATGTTGGTAGAAAATAAGTCTCAAGAGCCTCCCAAAGAAACAGCAAAAATCGAGGCTTAATATGCACATATATTGACAAGCCCACAAATTCCCATAATTCCGAAAATCCCCCACCCCAAACACACAATCCAGGTAAAAGTCAGGGTTCACTATGCACATATATTGAAAAGCCCTCAAATTCCCGTAATTCTCCCAAGCCCCCCCCCAAACATACAATTCAAGTGAAAATCGGGGCTTTCTATGCAAATATATTGACAAGCCCACAAATTCCCATAATTCCCCCAATTCCCCCCCACCCAGTAAACACACAATTCAGGTAAAAACCAGGGCTTACTGTGCATATATATTGATAAGATCACAAATTCCTATAATTCCCCAAGTCCCTCCCTAAACATACAATCCAGGTAAAAATCAGGGCTTGCTATGCACATATATTGACAAACCCACCAATTCCCATAATTCCCC